CTCTTTCCCCAGGAGGAACTGAATGTGCTGCTTTTTAAGTGGGGAAGGAGAGTGTCTTTTCAGCACACAGAGGAGGGCTACTTCCCCAGCCATCTTCAGGTAAAGCAAAGACAGAAAAACTGGGTTAGCCCAAATAAAAGATGTACTGACCCAATGCAGGGATGCTCTGAAAATAAATGAGGGCAAGCCTGGAAACTAGCTCTAAAAGGGCACAATTTAGCAAGAGGCCATGAGGTATCTCTGTTCCCCAGGGTCAGGCTCTGACACCAGCCAAGCAGGAAGGGTGGGAAGAGATTTATCCCCAGGATCAGTCCCTCTCAGCAGAGCCTCCTGGATCATGAGCACCCCTGCATACCTGTTCCCTCTGAGCCTCCGTGGTGGCCCTGGAGCCGAACCATGGGCCCAGACCCCAGGACTGCTTCTGCTGGCTTTGGGCAGCAGAACCCTGAACCCTGCTTCCTCCCAGGCCTGTGGGCTTTCCTCCCTATCCTTTGCATCCTTTGTTTGGCTTTACCAGGCAATGCTGCAATTTTTTTCCTGACCCAGAGGTGACATCATGCTCAGAAAGGCGTTTAGCAGAAACCTGGTGAAGGTTTGTTAAGACTCAGAGGGCCTGAAAAGGTGATTTTGCCCCTGCTTGTCTGTTGCTGATGGGAAAGATGGGAACTGAACCTGAGCCTTTGCGACCTGTAGTTTTAGTAATTGGTAAATTTAGTAATTTTGTGCAGTGGCCATAGCTATGCACCAGGTCACTTCTCCAAGCGGGACCATGCTTAGACATGCAGGGCCATCCAAAAGAGAAGGTGGCATTCTTGTGAGGGCTCTTCACAACAAAGAAGAGAATAAAGGCTGTGAAACTAGTTGCCCCATGGCCCACTTTTCATTTCAAATGCTTTTATTTCTCTTCGTGGCTCTGAAGTAATAACTTACAGCATGCTTTAATGGTAGCTGCTACACCATGACAAGGTGGGAGGAAGTGACTGTTCTCGTGCCCCCAAGGCACACCGGAGTATTCAGTGCTGCACAAAGACAGACACATTTTGAAACCTCCAAACCTCTGGCCACAGTGCATCGCTGGTGTTTGTAAGGGTAAAGTCACGCAACTTGGGAGATCTGAGCATCCACAGCCTCCATCAAGGCTGCCTTGCGGCCCCACTATAAACTGTTTCCGTTTCCCCCCTGTAGCAGTGGTGGAAATTTCCAGGCTTATTTCTCTGAGCCCCAGGAGCAAAGCTTGGCCGGGGATCCTGAAGAAGGCAGTGGTTAGGATCCGGCCAGATGCATGCAGCAAAGCAAACAAAGCGCGGCAGGAAGGTGGCAGAGTTGCTCTGACCAACCGGAGGGTCACCGCCTTTCGTACCCTCCAACACGGAAACATGCTCCTGTAACGGGAAGGAAGGTTAATCTCGGTTTCTTGCAGGGCTGGATGAAAACCCCGCTTTTGCCTGGTGCAGAAATGACGCGGAGATCAGCAATACGACAGCTTTTGCTGTTACTCCGCGGGGTGAGCTGTGCTCCGTTACCCGAGGGGCTCACAAACCTCGCAGCAAGCCCGGCGCAGGCTGA